TCTTTGTCAATTAATCCCATTGGACTTGTGAGAGGGTGCATAGTCAATCATAGTTGAATTCCTTCCATGTTTTTTTACAATGAACAAGCAGCTGCTTAGCCTACTTCATACACCAAAATTGTAAGGGTGGCTTCTACTATTTTAGTTGGTACTATGTACAAAACCAACTCTCTGCATTCATTTGAATTTTATTCCTGTTGCGTTTTAAAATTTAGTTAGTTTACCTTTCTTGAAATATCATTTTGTACAGCGAGATGTGAACAATGGCTGTGATAAAGTTGTTTATTTGATGGGTGATCTCAATAAGGTGAAAACAAATCTTTGTCATGATTTTGTTTTCATTGTATGGAATTCGACCAATTAGCGATGGCTAATGTAAAAAAGAGAAAAAAATATGGTTATTCTGTCAAAGGGTGGAGAATTGTTTGATTCTTGAAATAAAACTGTAGTACAAGCTCTGTACAAGACCATTTCATACGTCTTGCTCTTAAAAACTTATCTTCAATGAGCTTGTAGAGGTCATGCTTATCAGAGGTTAAAAATAAATTACGAGGTGGTTAAGAGGTTACCTAAGTATACAGTTTGGGGTTCTATAGTGATGATAAGAATGTTCATTCAAAGATTATGGAAGTCAAGTTCTGTTCCTTAATGCTTGTTTTAGATTGATTGACAGTCTTTATTTGACTTGTTCCAAGTACGTGTCAAGTCAATTGGGAAAACGAACTGAAAGCAATAATTTTCCCTCTCACTTTAATACTTTGTTCCATACATTGTCAAAAATTTCACAAATAAACAAAAATTTTTTTTATTTGCAACTGATCCATTTCACTGGTATTCTGCAGGCAAAAATTTTTTTTGTTTAAATCACTGTTAACTGTTAAAAACAAAACCTTCTAGTCCAATTTAGCTGAATGTCTCTCATTTTTAGGCTATGGCAATTTGTCTGACCACTTGGGATCAAATTTCCTGAAAAGTCCATTATAAAATTATGGAACTGATTGTACGCAAGCGTCGACCATGGGTTTCACATACAAAAACTGCAGCTCAATAAAGTAATACAAAATGGAAAACCGTTGTATTTATTGATGGGTTGCCATGGTAACTACAATGCATTTTGATACATGGCATGAAAAGAGATAACGTTTCATTTGTGACGAAAGCCATTTTGTCGTCATGGTAACCCATTAACCAATCTAATATTAGCTAGTATTTTAAATAACGCATGAACTTAATATGATAATTTTAATTTTAGGCTAGTTTAAATTATACTTTGACTATCTGCTTGTAATTTTAATGAGAATTTGGTTGCAGCTCACATTGGTATTAGTGAAAAATTGCATTTTTAGGGGGGTTGGTTTAAACTACTGCACCTGTCCATATATCGCATTGCATCAAAATCCACATACATGACATTAGACAGTCCCCCCCCCCTCATCTGAATGTTCAAATTAAATGAATGACTATTTTTCTGTTCATTAGGTTATTTATTCCTCGTTGATAATCGAAAAATTATTTTGAATTTCACTAATAAAATATAATGAATAACCCTTCCATTAAATTCCACTTTTTAAGATGAATATTTTGATTGGAATAATTTTCCACACATCAAATATCAGTGCAGTGTCAAAACATTTGATATTCACCCTTCCCTGTTATGATTGCTTGAAATTTAGGTCAGGAAATCGATGAACTTTATGCCATTATGCCAGTCACTATTTATCATGCTTCCCTGGCATGTTGAATTAATGCATTTAGCATTTCATCAATTTCTCATGAATACAAACTAAACACCCCTCTCCCTATCAGATTTGCAGGATTCAAAACAATTAAAATAATAAATTGCTTCATTCCTTTCATCCTCGAATGTGGAATATAAAGTAAAAATAAAATGGAATACTTGTACAAGATACTAGCATAAAAAGGCTTTGTCAGACAGTTGCCTTAGCAACCACTTGTGATGGATGGTGGCTTGCATAATACCAAGAGAAGTCTTTTGAATCTAATTTGCATTAGTCTGTCGTTTTCTTCCAAGCGTGAAAAGTGCAAGTAGTTACTTAAAATATGTATTAATTTTTACATAACCAGAATCTTTGAAAAGGTGTTAAAAAATAGTGTACCTTTTCTGTTCAGTTGCTCAGCAATATGATTATGCAGTTAAAATCAAATCATTCAATATTGTTTGTCTCCACATAGACATTAAAATACACAATTAAAAATATGTTATACTTAATTGGTTTCCATGGTAATGTTATAAAGGATCACTATAGCAATATAGTAGATGCATTCATATATCTACTAAGCCCAAAGATTAGAATGTTACTTCTCTTGATGGTGTTTAGTCTTGTATTTACAATAAAAAATTTATTGAATTTGATGCTACAATATTTGTTGCCGATTCTTGCAAGTTTACTTTGCTGATCATATTTATTGGTGAAATTGTCTCAACAATCGCTCAAGAGCATAAGAATGTTGAACAACCCTGGCCTCAAACACCTTTTTTACCAATAGTTCCAATCAGCGTGCCTTTCATTAGAGGACCAATCAATCTACTTCTCGCCAATCGGTAACTTTGTTCTAAAACAAGAACTGATTAGTCATTTGCTATCGTGACATTTCCTCGGGACTAGGCAAATCATAGCAGGCCTTGTCATTGTGTTTTGTCAGCGTCTAGAGTGTAGAAGTATGAATTGTATGCAAACTGATTCAACAATTGCAATACAATTTACACCTGTACATAGTTTTGATTACTTTTAGATTCTGCCCAGTTTATTCCTAAATGAGATTTGATAAAGCATGTAATCAGTTCCCCTGCCCCAATGAAAGTTGGTACTGGTGCCAACATTACAAGGATATACCTTGTATAGACCTAATTTCAATCTGAACTGAAACTATATTTTACTAGAATAATTTCTATTTTTATATTTATATTGGTTAGTCTAATGTGCCTAGTTATTTGAACAAATGTGAATTGATGTGGAGTTAGTACTTGCCAGTACGACTAACTAGCAATGTAGCTCTTTACTTCTTGATTGTTTACATAGTCTTTATTTCGCCTTCTGGGTTTATGTAACCCAAGAAATCCTTATAATGGCCGAATAAGCTAACTAGAAATGGGAAACTGGTTTTCAAACATGTCCTTACTGCTTAGAAAATAAATAGCTTGGTTAATAAACCAAAAATGTATGCTGTCAATATTTTAGAATGCATGTGTATAATCAAACTTTGCAAGACTAACAATGAAAATTATCCAAGTGTTTGAACCCAAAATTATTCAAAGCTAAACCGCTGAAATGATTTGCTCCTGTACACTGCATTTGTAAATGAGACAAATGCAGGGATTGATATTAACAACTTTTACACTGTAAGTGCGTGTGTAGCATATGTGAACTGTTGACCCTTGAACCCCCCTCCCCAAGTCAAACGATTGATAGGGATGAGGGGGGTCAAAATTGTGTTTTAGACATGGCTAAGTCCAACCACTTGAATGAGAAAATGAAACGTATTGATGGAGTAGGTGTTGCAAAACAGACGAAATTATCAGATGGGAGTTTTTGATGACAATTGTTGTTGCCATTCACACAAATTCTTTGTCCTCGTAAAATAACTTGCCTTTCATCTAAAAACTTGTGATTATTTATCGAAAAGTTTGTGCCATTGCCATCTAACTTAGCAACTTGGTGTTAGAACATGGCCAAATATTACAATAACTTTTCTAGGTCACTTTAAGGTGATGGATCATCCAAGTGTTGGTCTTTGTTTTGAAAACATCACCACACTATAAGAGGTAATTATGGTTTGTAGGGTTGGAATGCAAGTAGTCTATGGATGTGCATTCCAGCGTAGTAGTGAGGCCTGGCATGTCCATCAGAATAAAATGATAGCGAATGCCACTAACTAAATTAATTTTACTTCCAAGAACATTGAACTTGTTTTCCATGAGGTGCAAGCGTTATAAGATGAATTTGAATTGCATACACATAATACTGTATTTGCTCTATTTATTTAGCAAATGTATTTGGGTAAATGAGGTATCTGTGGTTAAAATATTTTAGCCCTGCATGTACTTATTGTAAAGCAAATGCTTGGCAGTCATTAGTCACTTCGTCATTTGTCAAATTACACTATCCTGTGTTTTCACTGTGCAAATTCTTGTAACCCAGTGTTGTGATACAGGTGTTAGAATTTTGGTTTATTCGTAATGCATTATAATTCCATTGAATTGTGTAAATGTATTGGTAGGCTTCCAGGGATTATTGCACTTTGTTGACTATCATTTTTTTGTGATAAAAATAAAAGGTTGTTTTAGCAAGGTATAAATTGCACAATTGAATCGGGTGTCAAACCTTTTATTTCCATTTCATAATATAATTTTAAACCAGTGATTGAATAATTGTTTTAATGTTGAACGCTCCTATGGTTACTGTAGGGATTAAAATTGATGTGTGCCAAACAAAGCAGAGTAAAGTTGAGACTGGTTATTAATACAATTACCTTCTTGCAGATTATAATTGTCAAAAATTACTCTTGTATATGACTAGTATGACTCAAATCAGTACACTATTAATCTTGGTACATACATGTAGGTGTTCATAAAATAGAAAACCAGCCCTGTTAAAGGCACTGTTGCAGTGTGCATTTCAAAGAGCAGAGCCATATAAACAGACATTCTTGTTCAAAAGGCTGATATTAATTTTCTAAATTTAAATATTCCCTATTCATATACATGCAAGTTCATTCTAAGCTTTCTTAGATTTTCTGGTTAGCTATTAAAAAAATATGAATGATATTTAGCTATAATAGCTGATAATGTCTTCCGATGAGACCACATACAAGTTCTAGTTGTGTGCATTGCACTGAATTGAATTACCATTTTCCATCTCTTGCAACAGTTTGATTTTATAAAATTAAAAATGGGGTCGCCCTTTGAATTCATTGTTTGTGTACCATAATATGCAAATTAGCTAATTAACATACACAATTTTCATTTTTCGGGAATCAAGGAACCTGCCCGGCTGATATTCAAGAATCTGAATTTGGTATGTAAAATACTTTCTGGGTGCCAGTTTAATTTGAATGCAATCATAACATCATTGGAACATCTAACTAATAAAATCTAATTTTAGACTTGTTTGTAGTATCATTGCATAATTTGGGTTTGTGGTGATGGTGATGGTGGAGGGGCGTGGTGGTGATAGTATAATTGCTTTTAAATTAGTTGCACTGGCGATAGAAGTAGAAAACTTGACTGCTGAATGACTCGTGGACTGCTGAATGGACGAGTATACATTAAAAGCCACCAAAGTAAAAAGCACACAAGAAAATGGCAGTTTGAAGCTCTTTGGTTACTCATTTAATTACATTGCAACATAGATCAGCCAGTTTCATTGCTTTGGATCTATGTACCACAGGACAGTTTGGTCAAAAGAAGCTGAATAATAATAATAATGGAGGGTAGCACAGCATTTGTCACAGCGACATGCACTTGTTTTTCTTTCACTTTGCTGAAAGCTACAAATTTGCCCCCCCCCCCCCTCCCAAGTCTTATTTTGGTACCATGTTCGGTTTTGCTGATTGTGAACATTTCATAATTAAATTCAGATTCTTGAATATAAAACATGGCTAGTCATTGACGTAAAGACTCTTTGATGGGCTAAAATGGCTGCACATTTCAGAGAAGTAGTTTGTCTAGCACTGTTATCAAGCTATAATTGTAGAACGGCATGAGAGGGGTTAATTGGAGTAACAAAACCTATATGGTTTCCTTGCATACATGCTGCATGCACCTTGAACCCAATATTGCTGGTGTTATGGCAACCAAATGTAATTATGCTTTTCAAGGATTGATATTGATTATTTGATGTTTGTATTAGGCATTGTATATAATTTTTTTATGTTTTTTTTTCTTTTCATTCTTCCTGTTATGGCAACAAATGGATCACACCCACTCTATCAACTTAATGTCAACACGGAACCATCAGCTGAGCGAGGTACACAGTCCTATTTATTGTTTTCCTTAAAAATCTAGTCATTACTAAAACGCTAGAAATAGTATTTGCAAACCTTCGATTCTCCTTTGCCACAGTGAAGTTTCATTTTGGATTGCCAATTCTTTTAAATACATTTTTTCACTTAAACACTAAGATTGGTCGCCAGATATTTTTGTCATTGTAACCAACATAATTTTATCACGCGTGGATAAATGCAGATTACCAGAAAATTAAAATTTGGGTTGATAAATACATTCTTCAGATTTCCATGGTCTTTTGAGTTGTGTTCAGATGATATTACATGAAGATTTTATCTGAGGCGTTTCTTTGAAACCGCTAGTACATGGATCAGTTTGTTTATATGCCCTAGTTAGAAGTCCATCTTCCTGAAGATTTTAGGTTCCTGCTGTAACATCACAAAACTGTATTCCTGACAACCAATATATAATTTATTAATTTAAATCTGCGATTTCTAATATCTGCTTTATCTGTCCGGCTCCCCAGGCCTAAGCTTTGTTTATTTTCTTGGCTGTTTTTGTATCATTTTGAACATCCATTTTCATCTCCTGCCAGAGATGAACATTCATAAATCCATTCTTATGGTAATTAATTGCTTGGAAATTCACTGCGAGAAAGCAATTTGTATTTGCTTTGTATGTGCGAATGTCATAATAAACGCCTATGTCTTGTGACCCATTCGCAAGATCAATTATAAATTCTCGTGGGTTTCTATTGAATTTGAAAATATGCAAAGTCAGTCATTTAAATTAGAAAATGAAAAAGGCCCTCAAAAGGAGCTCTACTACATTGCTTGTAGTTTCCATGGAAACAGTTTGTGAATTCAGATGTTCCTGTTCAGAGGCTTGTTTGCAAGTACTAACACATAGTATAAAGATGCAGTCATTGTCATTGTGGTTGGGTTTGATCTGAAACTCAAATGGTAGTTTGCGTTTTTAGTAGGATTTTATTTATTTGGAATGAGTATGTAAATAAAAGTGAAAGTTTGCAATGGGTGATCAATAAGTAAACCACGTGAAAAAAGAATTGTTGGAAAACGAGAGTATCAAGTGCTATAGAATATGCCACTTGCCAGGCACGCTTGAGGCAATTTGTTGACTTATTCATACTACAGTTTCATATGACGCATGCAATTCTGTGTTGAGGTTATTAAGAGTCACCATCAAAATATAATCCAAGGGGTAACTGTAATTGTGTTTTTCATGTTATGTTATGCAAATATCATTGATTTGCATCATTCATTTCAACATCGTCCATTTCAACTCTAGTTAGCTTGACTCGTTATTGTCCATCTCAACTTGAACTTGAATTATGTGCTGCATTGAGTTACTGACTAGAGGTGTAAAGGCAATGTTATTTGCCACAAATTGATTCTTGGTTGATACAGCTGAATACGATCATGCTTTAATCAGTAAATTTTAATAACTTTCAATTGGAGTACAAAAGCAGTGCAGAGAACTTATTTCAAATAATACATTGGCCAAAATGGGGATTTTTAATCAACAATTTGAAGAAGAAAAAACATGCCCTTCTGTGATTTAACTCTATTGTCATTGTACCATGGATTAATCAGGCATGCCCCTCCAACTGGGCTTTTGAAAACAAATTAACATGGTGGAAATTACTCTAGCCTAGACTCGACTCTTTTTCAGTATGCTCATTCAAATGCAAATAATTCACCATTTTAGGTGGTTAGTCGATGTTTTACTGGATTTGATTTTTAGGGTTCTGTTTAAAATCTTGTACATCGAAAGAAATGCTGCAACTGTTGTAGTAGTAGTGAAATTGTTCTTTGTGACATGGCAGATGGTGTGGGTTTTCATTACATTATCTATTGTCTGTATCTAAATACAAGTGATTATCAGCTTAAATTAGATCAGATCTCTTTTAGTCATCAGTGGATGTCACCAGTGGTGTGCTATACAGAAAGTTAAATCCTTCTCAATGGGTTGTCGAGGTCTCGCCCCCTGGCTTCTGAAAACAGAACATGTGTTAATTCAAACTGAGAAATGATAAATACTGTTGATTTGATTCAGTCATGATTCTGTCAAAATGAATTACTGTAACAATATTGGTTATTCACTAGGTTTTAATTTTAACTAAATTATTCCACATAGGATTAATTTCTTTACTGGAAAATGTAATGACTTTGGAATCGACTGAATATTGCTTAAAATAGATATTGATAAAAAAAGTATCACAAGAATACTGGGCAGTCTATTCGTCATTTGCTATGTGTCAGCATCCAATGTAAACAAAGAAGTGTTTGAATATGACATCAATCTTGAATGCGTTCCATGTTTGTGACTGTTTTCTCAAGGGAAAATATAAACTTTGTATATGAGCGCCTGCAAGTTTTGGAACTAATGCAGTTACAACATTTTAATGCAGCTGTGAATTGTATTTTTTGTGCTAAACGTATGCTTTGTGCAAGTACTTGGGCTAACCCATTCACCAGTTGCGACATTCAGATTAGGTACAAACCAACTTGCAATGGCTAAAAGCAAGTTAGTTAAAAATGTCATGAAAGTGCAGAACAGGCTGGGATAACTTGGATTGCTGTGTTGTATTTCAATTTAGTACATAGTCTGAGTAATTTTGTAATGTTTTTAAATGCTACATGATGGTAATTGACTACGAAAAACAATTCAACTCCTAATGGGACAAATACGGTATCAGTGAATATCACTGTTGGAATTCAAGCTTGTCTACCCACCCATGTCAAATTTACAATATACCTTTTACAAGATGAGTGGTCTAGTCGTTTATTTTGTAATAACAAGCAGATTTCAGACTACCAGTATTTTTGTTAATACTGCCATAATTGGAATCTGATGAAGCCATAGAACCAGAAGCCTATGCAAAAGGTTTCCGTACTGGGTTGAGCAATTCAAAATGCTTCCATTCAGTAACCAACACATGATTGCCAGTTGTACAAAAGAACATATTCAATAAACATCAAGGAATGCTTCTATTTATAGTAATATTAATTTCCTATGTGGAATGAGATTGTGGGTGCACCCATTCTTAATTGCAAATTTGAAAACTTGTCATAAAATTTCTCATTAATGTTTTCATACGAGGATATGGAGGAAGTCATTTGTGCTTGAAATAATTGCTCATTAGTGCTGCTGTCATTTTTACATCATTGTTCATTTACCTACATAATTATATAAAAAAAAAAAATTTATATACAACAAAAAAGTGCATACGGGATAAACAACTAGATTGGCTGAATCCAATGTTGTAGATTCATTGTAAATTGCCTATCAGATCAGGAATCAACTGAAGATGAGATTGTCAGCTTCATTAAAAATTTAATTGACCTGTAATTGACACCAAAAATGTGCTTGGTGACTAGTTTTCTTGCAAATTTTATTTAAATATTTCTTTATTCTGATAGTGTATAGTCTTTCATATCAGCAGTGTCGTTTATTGTCCGTCCATTAAAATTTATAAATGATATTTGACTAATAGCCATCACCAATACTGGTACTAAGTCTTTGGCCATGGGTTAAAATTCAGATGCATCTTTGTTCACATGCTTTTTAAATGGCCAGCAGAAAATGTGTCCATATATTAGCCAATGAAACACTTCCAATTGGCCCAAAATTGAAGAAATTATGCAAATACTGCACCAATATCTTGGCTGGAAATGTCATTCAAAAAGCTAAAAAGGTTTATTTGCTACTGATGATATCCCATCTTATCAAGTTTTAGCAGTGGTTGTTTCCACCACCCTAATGGTTGTCATGAATAACAGGGCTACAGTTTAGTGATGCCTACTTTCCCTATTGGGCTTTGGTGTTCCCAATGATATTTTATAAAGACTGAAAACAGCTAGGAGACTAATAACTTGGAAACCAAACAAATGATGAATTTTTGGATGAGTTATTGTAATTTTGATATTAATCAATATTAGACGAGTATTGATGGCTGGTGTGTAATAGCAGGTGGGAGGCAAGCAATGGAACCGGAATTCAACATCCAAGTACCAATAAAATTTATTGATGGATCTTTCCATTCAGTGTGAAATCCCAGACAAAAGAAAAGGAAGAGTTTCTTGAAAAAAAATGGTTGCTATTCATAATGTACATAAAAATCCATGAAAACAATGCTAACAAAAGAAAGGAAATACTTGTGTAGTGGCAGGTGATGGAACAGTGAAAAATTGCTTATTCTGGTAAAATTTCTTTGTTTAATGTAAAAATCCATTTAACTGAAGGTCAATGTGGGTATTGGTTTTTGTTCCTAATTGTCTATGGAGTCCAACATCTGCCCCCCCCCCCCCACTACTGTTAAGTGTACAATATAAGGTCGTTGTACATAAATTTTATTGGTAAGTGGATTTGCTTTCATGAGCTACCCCCTCAATAGTCAATGACGCCACTCCCATAAGTTAGTGGCGTATTCCTGAATGTTGCAGAGAAAACTATTAACTGCATCAATTTTAAGGCAACAATTTTAATATTTCTATTGGAATAAAATTACTCTGTAAGTATTATGCATTTGTCTAGTGATCCAGAACCTTAGTCTCCTATTGTGTTCTTGAAGATGGTCTTAATTGGCAACACACGAGTTCTCTAACTAGGACGACTTGCCTTATTGTTATTAAGCTAATTTTCTGGTTCATAAGTTCAGTAGGTTTCTTGTTGCCTGCAGTGCTTGTACAGTAATGTGTGTAATCTTAGTGATATTGTTGTATGGATGTTTGATTTTAGTATGTATATTCCTGAACATTTCAACATGATTCACTGTACGTATACTAACAGCCTCCCATCAGGTGACTTGTTCAACAATCCCAGATACCTGGAATAAATTTCTGCCACAAGTGAGAAAAGTAACAAGTTCAAATGATACTCATTGCAAGTGAGATTGGAAAAGCTAGAGACTTCCTGTGAATGGAAGATTACTTTTGATAGGTTACAGGGACACTAAATCATGTTATAGGTATTGCAATAACTTTCAAATATTTGATTTTGAAGTAGAATTTGAAAACAATGCATTTCGACTGCAACATTTCAAACATTCAGCTATTTGGCCTGCCTTCATGAAACTTCTGTTACATCCAAAAATTTGTTAGTAGTAATAATAAATGTTAAAAAACGCAGCAATATTCGTTAAATTTAAATAAGCATGGAACATCTATACTGGTTTGTCAGTTTTCGAGTGATGATGCCAGGTTGCCAAAACTACACATGATTGACATGAACCCCTTTTCAAGCATTGCCCAGATGCCATGAATAGTTGGTGAATTACAAAAAAATATTGCAAACATTTTTGGTCTGTCCAAAGCTGGTCAAGGTTGAGTGCCCCAAAATAAAATTACCAGGAGATGGTGAACAGTATACCCTGGTGTTAATCAATTTTGATATTTTTATTAATCATGAATTTCATTTTGTCATTTTTCAGAGTAAAATCTACTAAATTAAATGTGAAATAATGGTCGTTGTTTTTAAACTATTGCTCAAAACATCAATAAAATTAAATACTCATGGAAATGAATGGTTCTACAGTACCGGTACCTCTATAATTTACATGTGAGAATACTAACTAGATAATGAATATGGCCTTGTGATCCAGTGTAGTAGTAAATGTACATTAGATGCAGGAATGTCTACATTCTAACTAATTAATATTTTCATCATTGGAAATGGGTCACTATGACAATATCAAATAATTTGTTTCAAATAAATTTAATTTGCCAGCAGTGGGTTTAGTCTTCAAACGGCAGCATCCATTGAAAGCTAGGTTCTATTTAGTGTATAAATGAAACCTATAAAAATCAATCCAGTGTATTTTGCATTTGAGAACTTACTATTATGCTTTATTGCCATGTTAGTGTATATTGTATTCATTTATTGTTCCACAATCCTTTAGTTCGTGGTTAGGTGTGTGTGTGTGTGTGTGCGTGTGTGTGTGTGTGTGAAATTTATGATTGTTGTGACATTGGTTAGTTTGACCCTTATCATACATGGATGAGGATGGTGTCTATGCTTAGTTCTCTGCAAAGAAATCCCCCAAAGATTCAATGTTTGGTATTCACAGCTGTCAGCAGATGTCCACCATGTTCTTCACATCAGAAATAAACATTCAAGATATCAACATTCCAGATACCATGCAGTACATAGCATGCATACTGCTACACTAAACCACTGTGGGTGTATTTTGCAACAATAAACACATCATGGGTCTATGAAAATGAAACCGTAGTTATAATGCTTATAGACACAACTAAGGCTTTGCTGAACAGAACTGAGCTTTATATGTAGGCCACAATTGTCTATTGTCAACACTGTAATATTGCCTAGTACAGTAGCTGTAAAGCCTGGGTTATTATTGGCCAATGGGGTAACTAGCCTGCTATGTTATTAGTCACACAATTATGATCAGCCACACAAGTAATACTGTAAAATCTATATTAGAAGCTGCGGCTTCTATAAAAATGGTACAATGCTACAGAGGGGATGCGGCTTCTATTAGAGCATCTACACATATGAGAAATGGCGAAGTTTCGGTTCTCAATTATTTGAAAAGAATGGGTGTGGCTTCTATCAGGGATGTGGCTTCTAATACAGATTTTACGGTAATACTTGAATTTATTACATATCCCAAAATCCTTCTTAGGCATCGTGCTTTATAGTAGAAATTATTTCTTTGCATCATGCATTGCAATTTTCAATTTTAAGTAGTTTAAGTAAGCATTTACTATGGGTAGTGCTTGCAAAACTTTTGGGGCTTATTGTCCTAGAAATGCAATTTCCAATATTACCCGTTTCGGTTTTTGGGGTCATGCACATGTGACCTTTAATGGGGTCATGCACATGTGACCTTTGTTTGGGGTCATGCACATGTGACCTTTTTTGGGGGTCATGCACATGTGACCTTTAATGGGGTCATTCACATGGCTCATTGCACTATGAAGAATCATTATTTAATCCAATTTGCCAAACATTTGGTGGCAGAAGCACTGCATTATACACTATTTTCAAGTATTAAGACAAAAATGAATATTGCTTTCTGCTGGAATTTTTGCAGAAAACGCTTTTTGGGTGTTTTTACTTTTTTTTCTGAATTAATTAATTGTAAAATGTAGGAAAAGGTATATTCACTAGATTTTATTTTAAATGAATCATCCCTTCATTGAAAAATGGTAGATTCCACTAGACAATAAAGTGTTACAGTAGTGACTTTGGTTTATCAACGAGGCTATTATAGACCTTTGCGTCAGGTGTATTGAATTGCTATTTCAGATCATTGTTTCAACATTAGTATTTTTGAAAGCTTAAAATACTTCTGTGAAAAATGTGTGCTTATATTAGTACTAGGATATATGACCTTTCCACAGGTCAAGTACAAGGCCAATTGTACATCAGTGCATGATTGGGCATAATGTGGAAGAATAAAAACAGGAACAGATGTCAGTTTTCATGAACCATAGTTATCAAGAGTGGGGGGGGGGGGGTAACTGACCTTGCCTCCTCGGGATGTCCAGATTATGTCATTGATAGCTAGTGTCCAAGTAAGACTGGGAGGGGGAAGAAATATGTCATATGTACTTGGTATATTCATGTTTCATCCCATGGAAGATGTTTTGTGTATAAATTCTATCAATAATGCTTCCTGATCCAGAATTTTCTGCAGATCTTTAAATGATATTCATGCAAGATGTTGAAGTTGAAATGAGATTAGTGTAGCTTGGTGGTTTGGCTTTATTTTCAATTGAAACCAGAAAGGGTATTAATTTTAATCAATGTGCATCAATGCCAATCTATTGATTATATTGATTGCTTGTTCTCATTAAAACTGCTCCATCTATGTCGCCTGATTATTTACTGCACAAATTTTAATCGTAATATCAATTACTACTACGTGAATAGCGCTGCTAAGAGTGCAGAATGTAATCTTTCACTTGTTATGTCACTGATGCCTTGCCTACAGTGCTTGTAATATCTCGCTGTAGTCTTCAGTATGACTTAAGTTTGAATCATTAATTTGAGATTTTTATTTATGATTATGCTTCTATCTTAATATCAGTTAGTTTCTGGTACCAGAGAATAGATGTATTGCACTGAACTAAATTTTCGTTATTTTATTTTTATTTTTGCTAGGTCAAAGTTTGGGGTATGCTTTTGTTAACTATCACAAAGCTGCTGATGCAGAGAAAGCTATTAACACTCTGAATGGTTTACGATTACAAGCCAAAACCATTAAGGTCAGTCAGATTAGTGCAATATTCAAAATTATTACTATCATTCGGTTTGTCTGCACTGATTTGTGTTGCTGTTTTATGAAGGTAATATTTCCCACCGAATGGATATCAAAACTGGTTTAAGTTCAGTGGCAGTGTTGTCGTTCAATAGAACTTGCATTATTTACACTGCTTTTTCTGTTATTGCTTTCATTTTTTTCCTCTAGCTATTTTTTGATCTGCTTAAAGAGTTTGCTACTAACTGCGAGTAATATTGAGGAAATGTAATATACAAATACAAATACTTGCCCTAAACACCAAGAAAATGGAAATCAGTTTCAAAACTAAATTGTCACCTCTCATTTGGCCCACCCCCCCCCCCCCCCCATTTAACATGCACCTTCAATCTGCCATTCCCTGTCTGAATTTGACCACATTCTCCTGATGTGCTTGACAAATTGGTTATCATTCTCAAAACGTGTCTCTATTTATTAATTTAGGTTTCGTATGCTCGGCCAAGCAGCCAGGCAATCAAGGACGCCAACCTTTATGTTTGTGGACTGCCAAAAACCATGGCTCAAAAAGACTTAAGAAGAAATGTTTACGTCGTGTGGCCGTATTATCACATCCCGAATTCTCTGTGACAGTGTAACTGGTGAGTCACAATCTCGTAAGTCATCTTTATTTTAGTACGTAAGTCGTTTATTTTAATTTTTTTATTTGAGTGTGTAATCATAGACCAGTGATGTGTATCAAGGCCTATGGTTGGACACTGTGTTATTTGCATATTGTTTGCATGTAATTTGCATAAACTTATAGAAGGTAGGTAAGCAAGCAATATGTGTAATGAATCTACATTGTTCAAGTATCAATGTTATTGTGCCTCCATAAGAGTCGCTTAATCTGCAATGCATTCATGGATTCTTACAACAGCTAGCCAACATGGCATACAAGTTGTCCAGCTGTAGTTAAGAGGTTGCAATGCAGAAGTTGTATTCGTTTGACGCATTTTACCAAAATTTATGTCGTCAAATTATAGTGTCGCTTGAGTGGCACCACAACATCTTGGGTGTTGCTTTCTAAAGCATTGTTGGCACACTGTTCAACCTTCCATATTACGTTGTACCAATATTTGGTAAAGTTGCAAACTTGTAATTTGAATTGACACCGAAAGCCCATAATATTACATTACATTAAGCAATTGGATAATTCAAACATTGGATAATAGCTAGGTGTTTATTCAACGTTCCCAACTCAAAATGCTGTTAAAGATTGTCCTTTTAAATATGCAAAGTTGTGCAGTTTCAATGTGTATTGGAACAAATGTCAAATTTGGTATTCAAATGCTTAACATTGTTTGCACACACAAACTGATTAATAATGTATTTCATGTCCTTAACATAAAAGTTGACATTGTACAGCCTTGAATGAAAAATCATTAGCTGTGCTCCAAAATTTTCCTATATCATCTACAAAAATAAATTTCACCTTATTGATTCAGTAAAGACAAATATAAATGAGAAGATGGTTTATTTTGGAATAAAGCTAAAATGTGGTGATTGATGATTAGCCTTCATCTAAGAACACAAGTAAAATGGTGGTCCTCTGTAAACAGATGAAAGATATGATTCAGGTGTTAACATTCTTTCAAAGACGCGTGTCCCTTGCATATTGAATCTTGTGTGATAACTTCCTTCAAAACTTTAAGTTGAAATTGATCTTTCTGCATTTTGTGCAAAAAGACAATTTCTGACAAAACCAGTTAAATATTCACTGCTAACTAAATGTATTGTTTTGAGAAATGTGGGAAATAATGTATTGGCAAATTAGTCACTTAAAGTGCGGTGGTTGTCGCGCAACGCCTGTTCGAATTTTATGTAAATAAACAATGTATTTCACATGCGTTGTATACGTCATGAGTCGCATATCGAACAGGATGCAGCACGACGACTGCCACCCTTTAATTTAAATAATAGTGTATTTATTAAATTTGGAATTGAGTTTAATCATTTTTTTTTTCAAATGAGTAAACTCATAACAATAATTTTGGTGACTAACATTTTTTGGATGACATTTACACCAACAGGTCATTCACGTGGAGTTGGCTTCATTCGTTTTGATAAACGCACTGAAGCTGAAGAAGCTATCAAGAGATACAACGGCACAATTCCTCCAGGGGCAGTGGATGCTATTACAGTGAAATTTGCCAACAATCCTAGCCAAAACCATGCCAAGGCATTACAACAAGCATATTTAGCATCACCAACCAGAAGATATCCAGGACCATTACATCACCAAACCCGTAATTTCAGGTGGGCATAATTACTCGTCTGTGTTGCATTTTGCCTTGCCAATTTATACATGTATCCTCTTGTTGAGCAGTATAAACCTTTCTTTCTCACTGGTTTAAAAATTTCACTAGGGTATGATCAAATTGAAAAGATTGATAATACCAGGTTCACTTCTTATATTGAAACTCGACAGAGCATGAGTATACAGATATAAACTGAAATGGCATAGTTTCAATTGTTTTTAAAGTGGTGAGTTGTCACCTGCTCATGTGCCAGACTACCCCATAGCGTGTCGTTTACAAACGTACTTCTACCCGCAAGCATTGTCACTTGGTACTCAACTCCTGCATTCCTGCAGGTGACGACCGCTCCACTTTAAAGTATTAAAGATGTATCATTGTTCTGAGAAACTTGAAGGATTTTGGTGCCAGCATTGTGTTAGTACCAGTAAATGTGTGCATGTTGTGTGTGAACAAGTGACTTGCCAAAAATACCTAGATTTAAAAAAAAAAAACATTTTCAGTGCTTGGTCAAGATTCCAATCAAGTACATTTTATAGAAATTCTGTGTTATGCTTATAAGGGGGCAAATGTATTAGATCTTAGAAACTAATGCAATGCCTTTCCAATTCTGACAAAACCTTGTCAGGATTGGAATTAAATTCATAGAATCTAGGATTGTCCAACTGCCTTGTGTGTACCCAGAGTCGTACGATCCTTGATGGCCTGTCCTACACATGTTCAGTGTTATTTCTGCACAAGTATCATGCAGAAAGTAATATTTAGTTCTTTTGGGCCAGACTGAAGTGATATTTAAAAAACACCCATTTGCAATTCATCCCATTAAAAGTCCTGAAAGTGATCTTTCGTTCCCACATCAATGACTGAAAATTGGTGATATCGACAAGTGTAAATATATAAACTAAGCATATAATGTTTCTTTTTTTCCCTTTTTATCAATATTATTTGTTTATTTATTTGTTATTGTTTATTATAATAATTCGCACTAAAGGTGGATAATAAAAAACTCCTTTGCAACGTGACCCAAACTTTGGTAATGGACTCTTTTTAAACTAACCTTGGTGTTGGCTTTGGGGCTATAGCAGTCGCTTCTTTCCTCCATTCTCTGGTGCTGGCCTTATATCTGGCTTTCTATTTCTATCTATCTAATGTTAATGGGCCCCTTCTTTCCCCCCAGAAAAACTTTCATTTTCTACTCCCAGGGTTTTCTTTGCATTCTCATTTGCTCTCAGTTGGTAGCATCACAAATAGTTACACTTCTGCTTTTGGTTGTTTCTCTTTTTGTTTATTTATATTTAGTTGTATTTTACCCTATACTAGATACTCTCCCATGGGAGGCGAGATCCTAGGCAACGTTGGAATCAACAGCATAAACAACAACGGACAGGGATGGTGTATATTTGTCTACAATCTGTCGCCCGAAACAGAGGAAAGTCTCCTGTGGCAGTTGTTTGGGCCTTTTGGGGCAGTCACCAACGTCAAAGTAATGCGGGATTTCAGCACTAACAAGTGTAAAGGCTTTGGTTTTGTCACCATGACCAATTACGATGAGGCTGTTGTGGCAATTGCCAACTTGAATGGCTATGCATTAGGAGCTCGCGTCCTCCAGGTTTCGTTCAAGACAAACAAACATAAGCCTTGAAACGACCACGCAACAAACTGTTAACGGAACTTTTAGTAAGGAGAGACGATATGTCACAGTGCAAATAAGTTTTTTTTCTTTGAAAGAAAGAAAAATATATTATAAAAAGACATCCTAAGAGGATTTTATCTGGCCAGAGAACTTCTGTGCAAAATATGAAAAAAAATTATTTTTGCCCCAGTTGTTTATTCAGTTGTGGTTTTAAAAAAAAAAAAAAGATTAACTGTTCCGTTTAGGAGTGCAACAATGTTTAAAACACACATTTGTTCCATTAGGAAAAGTATAATGGAAGTTTTTTCATGTTTTGATGTATTTTTGAGTCTTTGCTGATTTTTCAAGGATTTAGCATTTACTTGTTTATTCCCAAGTCTTTAACTTTGCACCAATTTAGGATAAACTGTGTTTTTTGAAAATATTTTCAGAATATAGGAGTCATAATCCATTCACTTATTGTTTTCTATTTGACACTTAGATTCTTACGTTTAACTTCAAGGAAGTTTTCACGTTAGCTTTTCATTATTACTAACTTTTAAACATTTTTTTTGTGGATTTTTGCATGTACTATGTTTATGTTGTACTGGCTTGTGAATTTTGTGTTTGCGGATGCTTTTTAGTCATATGCAGTTTAAGGCAAATCTCCATATTTTTTTCCTGTTAATCTAAGTTACATACAGCCAGATATTGCACTCTTAAATACCTTTTGTTTCTTGGAGACAAAAGAATTAAATTTTATTTGATCTTTGCTGATACCTTTGCTTTGTGTTTATTTTCTTTTACATTATTTTGGCTTTATTTCTGAGGTCTCTTAGTCGTTCTAGGTACGAGAGGCTCACGAATACTTTACTAACATCACCCTCTACCTAAATTTCCTTTTTATTTTATTTCATTTGCTACGCCTATTTCATTTCATGTATACAGTGGGAGGGTGGTTCCTTTCCCCATAAGGATGAGTTTGTATTGTACATTGGTACTAATGCATAAGGATGTACGAAGGTTACAGAGTTTTTTATTGCAATTACAAAGCCCAGTGGGGACTTGAACAGACAATCTATTTTTATACCCCTGTCTTATTTCGTTGTGACGTGTACAAAAATTATAAAAGTGCTGTTTGCATATAAAGATAAAGGGAATTATGCACATGTGTGTTAACTTCCCACTGGGCTTACCCAATCTCAAGTCTTTCCAAAGGCAAATGAACCAAATAATGACCCTGTGTAAGAGTTGAGTTTCACAACAATTGTACGGGTCTTTGAATACGCTTCCTGCCGGTCTTCAAGAGACAAAAACACAAAACTTTAGAGCTAGAATTTCGTGACAAGCTTAGAGGCGTTTTATAAATTCCAAACTTTTCACTGGGAAAAAACAGAAGTTTTGTAAAAAATTTAGAGACCAACTTCAAAAACTAAGCCCGTCTTGTTTGTAGAAATCAGAAACTAAACACAAGTTGCTCTTCCAATGCTCTGAACCTCAGAACTGCAGTGTCAATATATGTATATGTATGGTTAACAGTTATTGTACATAACTTTAAAAAAATTTATGAAAAAAAAGGGAAAAAAAAGTAGATTTGCTTTCTGTAATCAAGTTTGGTCTTATTGAAGTGGCAGCTTCTTGTTACCTGCTTTCACTAGAATACCTAGAAAATAACCAGATTGCGCGTTCTTGGCTGACTAAAAGTTTGACCACCAGGCAAAATACGTTTTATGGTTTGTAAAATTTGTCTCGTTATTGTGGACGTATTTCTGTATAAAATGCATGATATTTTTGAAATTTTAATTCTATTATTTATTCATTCCATCCTAATAGTATTTTACTCTTGCCATGTTTGATGCACTGTTTTATCTAATATTTCAATTTTTTTAAATTATAATTTGAGTGGTAGTTTACAGCCAGTAAAGCTCGCAAAATTTTCTTAAAAGTCCCAAAACAAACTGGGAATAAATTTGTGTACACAGTACAAAAAACAAATATAATTTTAGTTTTTGTTTGGACTGGCTGTCTTTTATTTTGATTACATTTCTTTTAATGCCTGTGGGCTCAGCTGTTTGGTTGTAACTGCCATCTCTCCAGAGACAGGAACGTTTCTTGCATTGTAGACCTGCGTTGTAGATAAACACTTATTAGTACCGAACAAAGACTAGAATAAAATTTGCATTAATAACGAACCAATTAAGTTGAGACTATTGCAAAAAAAATCAAACATGCCAACTAAGAGTACTGCCACTATCAATAATTTTGGTTTAAATTAGGCAAATTTAAATTAAATTGAAACGAATAATCTGTATATACTACGCCACAGACAATGAAAATGTTTTTGTTTCTACTCATTAAAAAAAAACCAGCTGGTTAAGATTCAGTAGTTCAAATTGTTATTAATTAATATTAAAGTTAAGTTAAAATTAAATAGTTGAAGATTCTTCCTTCCTTCTTTATTAATTCATTGTTTTGCTGAAGTTAACTTAAATACATTAGTTTTATGTTGTATTCAAGAAACACAAGTGGAGTACAAATGAAAAAAAAACATTCAAGAGAGCTACACACAGCAAACCCAGCTATCAATCCTGACTCTATTCAGTGGTCCCTGATCTTAAAGCTCCCACTCTCCTTTACCTACAAGTAGGTATCTGAAACAATATGTGGGCTGTACTCAAATTGTGGATTATATTGAAATGATTTCGGAAACTGTTACATGCTATAATTGAGTTTGGATGAATTCAATTTAACACTGCCAAGTCACGATGCTGGTTTTTTGTGTTGGTTTACTATTGCCACGTTAATACTTTAATTACTTTTGCTCCATAATAAGAGGTGGACTAAATGATTTTTGAAAGGGTGGGTCGAGCATATTTTTTCTGGGAAATATTTTATCTAAAGTATGCTGTTCCCACCCACCTTTATAAATTTGTTTTAAAAAAAAATAAAGGTAGTTTTTCCTCTTCATTGCAAGAAACAACTTGCTTGCATAGATAAATACTTGATAATTTGGAGAAAGGTTTTGTATCCCTGGGAAAATAAATCAATATTAAAAAATGGCAAATATAATCCAGATTTCTTGAGGCTGGACTTGTGTACTTAATCTGATATGTTGCAGCAGTTAGAAACTGGGGTTAGCAAGTGCAAGAAAGAATTTGAATCGTTTAGTAATAGATATTAAACTCCAATGGGTTTAGGGGATTTGATGTACAGGTAGGTAGCTCACAAGCAGGTGCTAAAATATAACTGTTCAGCCATCCCGGCCTTTTATCCCACAAGTGGTTAGCTTAGTTTATTTTCTGTATTTTGTGTTTAGCGTGGTTGTACACGCTGCAGGAGCGAAATTGGGCACATTATGTAGAGAAAAAACTAATAAAATTTGTAAAACGGAAAAAAAAATTGAGGGAAATAAACACTTTTACTGGGTCGACGGGTGAAGATGGCTGAACAGATCTTTGGTCCATGTGCAATACTTTAGAAAGTTTTCCCACAAGAGAAAAAAAGGCTTTTTATATACACGTGGAGAAAGCTAAATTTTTAAGTGCACTATGCTGCAGGGGAGTGTTTTTATAACGAGAACAGCCATTGCCTACCCACAATGCACTTGGTGCACAACTGTACCTCTCTAAAACTGAGGGTATGATTACAATAAGGGCGGGGGTGAGAAAAGGTTGACTTTTTCTGGGAGTAATGGGATCTGTATCCATTTCAATATGAACATTCAAAACGGCTGGCTGTGCAGGACATCCTACTTGAATAGGTGTTGACTGCACTATAGTTGGGAAACTGCTGGAATATTCCTACTTTATCTACCACTCTGAATTGAGATAGTTACCATTGCTCCTCATACATTTGTACTTTTTACATGTCAAGATATCTTAATAAAAATACATTGAAAAAAACCCATTAAATTGCGTTGCTTTATTCCATCAAATTCAATTGACTAATGGTTTTGTGCATACTTAGCTGGATTTATTTTGCAATACAACACTACCTGGAAAGGGTTCCATCGATGTGTTACTGACCCAACATCACCATTTTGCTATTCTGATCGGTTTTATTCACTGCTCATTTCAAGAGACCTTTACAAAAATCCTGGCAGTGCAGTTTCAATGAGTTTCTTGGAAATTGCTCGGAATCTTCAATTTGGATTGAAAAGCTGACAGGATTATCCAGAGTGTCATGTATTCTGAATAACTTTGGCATATTGATGCAGAACATTGAAATAAAACTAGCATTTTGGTTCAATTATGGGCCATTTGCAAACTCCTAATTGGTCACCATGGTGACTGGATTGGGATAAGTTAATGGAGAGAATACAACTGGTTGATGAGTTGCCCATTGCTGAAATACAAAGTAGTTTTATAAACCTGTTTAGCGATAGTCTCGTCATTCCAGCACTAGCATTTTGGGTAATGAAATGCAAAATAATTTTTTCATTTCTACTACATTGGAATTCTACATAAAAATAAAATAAATGAAATCTGGCTTGCAAATGAAGATTTACAAATATTTCTTGAAAGCCAGAGTATTCAATATTTACAGCATGGTTTTGATGTGGTTCCGATACTATGCATGGCATTGTTAATGCATGCGAGTTGCATACATACCGGTGTATACACAAAGAAATTAAATGTTCAACCACTGCCTGTAAGGCCATGTCATTTCTTGGATTGCAAATGCACACGAGTTTCTGGTGTAAGAAATGAGGTCCAACAGCAAAGTATACATAATCTAATGGAAATTGAGCCGTGAATGTTCACAACCTTGTTTAATCCATCTGAAGATGTATAGTTAATTTTATTAAGGCATAAATGTTCACCCTTGCTTCATTCAAATCAAGAGTACAGTTTCATTGGCAAAAGAAGCAATTTTGGTATTTCCACGCGAGTCTTATGCAGGTTTCCTTCATCATCCTGGTTGACGAACACTCCACAGAAAAGTTGCTTCATCTCAAAAACTGCCATCTGGGAGCCGGTTTGCTGGTGTTGTAGTAAAATATCTGCAAGTTTCTTACGACTGAAGTGAATTAATCGCTGAACATCCAGGGTACCCAAAATTTGTTTACAGCCATGCATTTGTAAAAGTATTTATAAAACATTTGTGAAGAACTGGTATAAAAACCATGTTTGCATGAAATTCATTAAAATGATGCAACAAGTCAAATTCATCATCACCTTGAGGAAAGATTTTTTTTTTTTCCTGGGAATATTGTGCAGAAGTAAACCCCCCCCCCCCC